ATCTATCTATCTATCTATCTATCTATCTATCTATCTATCTATCTATCTATCTATCTATCTATCTGTATATATAAACACAATACACAAGCCTGATGATGGCAGATGAGATTCTGCCGAAACGTTGCTACATACATACCTATACCTATACCTATACCTATACCTATACATGCATGCATACATACATACATACATACATACATACATACATACATACATACATACATACACACACAGAGGCACACACACACATATTTAAAACGGGCAACCTGAGGCATATCTATCTATCTTAAAAGAGGGACAGCTCCCAAGCTGAAGGGGGGGTCGGGGGGGGCAGAAAGAGGCGTGGCTATCGGGAAGGAAATTTCTAAATCTAAATTTGTATTCGTGGCTGAGGGGAAGCCACGCCCACCCTCCTCTTCTTACCTCCCCCTCCGCCAAGACTGTCTTCCGCTCGGAGCGTCTTCAGAAAAAGCCACTCAGAAGTTGCGGAACCGTCGCCGAGGCTTGTGTGAAGGCAGCCCGGGGGAAACTTTCCGAAGCTCAGCGGGCGAGTATTAAAGAGCACAGAGGCGTCTCTTGGTTTCTCTGTGCCTTTAAAAAAAAAAAAAAACTTTTCGTTTTTCCTAAAAAAAGATTAAACCTCCGTTTAGGAAGCGCGCCTAAGCGAGCACTTCGGCGGCGTATAGGATGCCGTTCCGTGGGAATTTTGAATAAGGAGACGTAAGTGCTTTTTTTCTTCATGTTACGCTTTGCCTTTCTCTGGGGGTAATTGGAATTTAACAGGTGCAGGGAAGAGGAGGAAGAGGAAGAAGAAGAGGAGGAGGAGGAAAAGGAGGAGGAAGAAGAGGAGGAGGAGGAGAAGGAGAGGAGGAGGAGAAGGAGGAAGAAGAGGAGGAGGAGGAGGAAGAGCAGGAGGAGGAGGAGGAAGAGCAGGAGGAAGAAGAGGAGGAAAAGGAAGAAGAAGAGGAGGAGGTGGAGGAAGAAGAAGAGGAGGAAGAAAAAGAGGAGGAAGAGGAGGAGGAGGAGGAGGAAGAAAAAAGAAAGAAAGAAAGAAAGAAAGTCCTGAAAGTTTGCTAAAAGCTACATGCAAAATATCTATGACTAATCTTAAAATGTTACATGTGCAGTTATCATCTCCGCTTAAACTAAATATCAATTTTTCCAATAATAAGATACTGATCACAAGGAACAAAGATTATTTAAGATGTGCCTTTAGGCAGTTCCATGCTTGAATACTCAATATGCAGAAAAATAATGGACATAAGTGTACTTTTTTTTAACCCCTGCTCCATTCTTTACCAATGATGCAAGGAACTGAAAAGTACATCTGACTGGTATATCTGTTATAAGAGTAGGTAAAATAATCAATGTCTTTTCCTGTAGGATTCCTGGATTGCAAGTAGAATCAGGAAATGTCCATCTGGTGCACACCATTAACCAGTTGTTAAAAGAAAACTAGCACTAGTACTAGTGATTTGGACACGAGAGCGTCTAAGATGACCTGTACATGTACAAAAGAAAAACAGGCTAGGAAAATGCCCCGCGCTTTTAACCTTAAAGGTGCAAGGATGATATCATGCTTTGGGGAATGTAGGAATTGTGTAAAAAAAACAACAACCCACTACTGCTTCCTTTTATGTAGGGATAAAAAACACTACTATTCCCTTTTGTATAGGAATGGGACTTACAAAGACCTGTTTGATTCACTGATAAGTGACGAAGTCAGGTATCCGCACAACACTTAGCCCAAAGTCATATGCGGGCATATATATTCATGCAATCTTTACATTCATGTAGTGTCTTTGCTTGTAATTTTCATTTGAAGTGCATGAAGGGCCTGGCTAGTCTAGTGAAGAGAAGGACCAGGGGAGACAGGATAGCAGTGTTCCAATATTACAGGGGCTGCCACAGAGAGGAGGAAGGGGTCAAGCTATTTTCCAAAGCACCTGTAGGCCAGACAAGGAACAATGTATGGAAACTGAACAAGGAGAGATTCAACCTGGAAATAAGGATAAATGTTCTGACAATGAGAGCTCAATCAACCAATGGAACAGAAGTTGCCTTTGGAAGTTGTGGGAGCTTCATCATTGGAAGCTTTCAAGAAGAGTCTAGACTGTCATCTGTCGGAAATGGTGTAGGGTCTCCTGCTTGGGCGGGGTGGTGGTGGGGTTGGACTAGATGACCTACAAGGTCCCTTCCAACTCTGTTAATCTGTTAATGTGCCATGCTTTTAACCCTAAAGGTGAAATGATGATATCATGCTTTCCTGTTCCCTTTTATGTAGGGATGGGACTTACAAAGATGCATTTGATTCGCCCTTAACTGACAAAGTCAGGTATCCATACAGCACTTAACCCAAAGTTATATGTGGACGTGTATGTTCATACATGTTTTACATTCATGCTATGTAGTGCCTTGGCTTGCAATTTTCATTTCAAGTGTGAAGTGACAATGTTGACTAGACTAAGCCGCACCCTATCATTCATCATACTATGAATCCTCACATTTCTTGTACTGGGCAAAATACGATGAAATCATATGCAGGGCTATTTTTTCCTCCAGAAAATAAAGTCACTTTTTGTACGACTGCCAATAAAAATATGCCACATCCTTTCTTTGGCTGCAGCTTTCCTGATGTTTAAATGTTCAGTGGCACAGTGTTGTTGGGTTTTTCCTGGCTCCACTTACCTATGAGCACAGAAAAGAAAAAGAGTTAGACTTAAATCTTTTTATGGAAATAGTTTAGACATTGCTGAAAGAACATGTTACTTTCAGTTTCCGCTGCTTTCCTGTTCCTGTGATTTGTTTGCACTGCTGAGGAATAGGCAGAGAAAGAAGATCCGGATGTGTTCCTAATGAATAGGATTTGTGACTGTCAAACAATGGTGGAAACAGAATTATGCCAATAAAATCACTTCTTATTACTAATACAACTTGGACTGCTAATCATGGTCATGTTCTTTTACCTATATACATTCTACATAACTGTTACGGACATCTACGTGATAATGATAGATCTGCTGGTCCTTGGAGTACACTGGCAAGAAGTTGAATCTTAGATGCAAGAGAAGTTGTCTTATCTGAAATCCCTGGTCCGTTCAACCTAGTATTGTCAATACTTATTGGCAATGTTCATCCAGAATTGCAGATGGGAGTATCCTCAGCCATTCCCATAGAGCTACAGCCCCATTTGGTCTGTGTCTATTTCACAATCCATTTTTCCTTTAATCTGTTAGGCCTTAGAGATACGATTGGCAGAATGGGGAAAGTCTCTTGAAAGGAAAAGTGAAATCTGTAGGCCAGAGACCATTTCAGAATTCTTCACTTGGGTTCTTTTTCTTCTAAACTTTAAAGCAGAGGTAGGACATGTCATCATATGTAGTCTGCTCCATTTGTCAGAAATAAGAGATAATCATGTTGCCTGTGCATGCTTACAAGAAATGAATAGATAAAAATGCACTATAATTTGTCTCTTCGATGGGTATTAATCACAGAGAAATGGTAATGGCATTCCCAGAATATTCAAGGGAATCTAGTGGGACAGAAGAGGGTGACTTGTCCTTCTGTAGTCAAGTAATCTAGGTGAGCAATGTAAACACGAAAGTGGTGAATTAAAACACAGGAAAAATGAAATGTTTTTAGGATAAGCTCATTATAAGGATTGCAGCTACATCACCATTTAAGGTCCTCCCAATACTGTAATTTACTATAATCTATCATTTTACTCTTCCATTGCAGTCATACTGCTCACTGCCTTGAGCTCAAATTTGCTTGAAATCTGTGCACATTATTATTCCCCTGGTTATGACAGGAAATAACTAAACTGTTTATTCTTTGAAACAAAGGTCAAACTGACCTGAATGTTTAGTCTTCACAGATATTTCCTTTCTCGGGACAGAGTTAAATGTGAATGGCATTAATTTGGAAAATAAACTGTGCACTTTGTGCAAACCTATTCATTTTTGTAGAGTAGTTCTATTAAACTCTTGTTAGCCATAGCGTAGATGTTGTTTGAAAAGTTACAGAGGTGAATATACCAAGTGTGCATTTTAAGATCAATTATATTAGTTTATTTATTAAAATATTTCCTACAGGTTGCCTTTTGTGACAGATGTCTGGATAAATATATCTACAATATATTCAGATTTGCCAGGAAATTCCTTTCTTGCATTCCTTTTGTCCTTTTGCTGTACTTCTCTTTTATATTTTTTTATGCTCCGGTGTTTAAAGCCAAACATGGAAGTTGTGTTTTCCAAGGAATAAGGAATTGGGATAAAACAAAAAAGGTAACCATTTGTATAGCTACTGAAGCTTTGGGTTCCCAAATATGGATTGAGCTCTAAGTTGAACCGAATGACATAAATCTGCCCATGTTGAATATATTTTATACCCCATTTGGGGTATAAATTACCGGTATATTTTGTGGTTACTATAAAATGTAGTTCAGTGGTTCTCAACTTTTTCTTCACCATGGACCCCTTTTAAATACCTTTTGTATTTATTTTTGCCACGGACCACCAAGACTTAAGATTTAAAGACTGCATCAATCTGTCCAACCGAAATCCTTGGACTCCCTGTGATATCGCAGCACCCAGAGGTCCCTGGATCACAGATTGAGAAGCACTGATCTAGCTGAATGCATAAGAAATAATGTCCAAGTGTCATTAAAGCAACCTCTAGCTCTCTGTGTGATATTTGTAAATATTGACTGCATCTTGTTTTTATAACCAATCTACTTAAAATTACCAAACATGTATTTTATTATAACATTGATTTTTTTTTTTTTAAATCTTTTAGATAATCATGATTTTGCCAATTTGGAGTCTTTGGTTTCTCTCAATTGCTGGAGCTAAAAGTCTTAGTGCTGAAAAGGTCGTCCCATTTTGTGGCATTGCTGATTGCAATTTTCATGGGAAGAGTCTGCACACATTTCCACTGGGCCTATCAGATGCTGTCTTGGGACTGGACCTGGCCTTCAATAGCATTGTGCACATTCAAGATGTTGACCTAAAGTTTGCAGTCAATCTTAGAACACTTTTGCTTCAATCCAATTTAATTCAAACAATCGATGAGCATGCTTTTGACTTCCTTGGAAAACTGGAGCACTTGGATTTATCATGGAACAACTTGACCTACTTGTCACACTCTTGGTTCAGAAATCTTTCTTCTTTACAGAAATTAAACCTAAAGGGAAATTCCTACTCAAAACTTGGGATACTTCCATTATTTTCTGGCTTACAAAAGCTGAGATATCTATACCTGGGAAATGATCAATTCTCTTCTTTACAGGCAAAAGATTTTGAAGGAATTTCAGTTCTTGAAGAACTGGAGATTGAAGGACAGAATCTTACACAATATTCACCAGGAGCCCTACAGTCTCTTGATCACATAAATCACATTATTTTGAATGTTCCTGTCAATTTCATCTTGAATTGGACTTTAGTTGATGTTAAAAATTCTGTGGTGTTTCTTGAACTGAGAAATATACACAACCTTTCATCCCTTATCAGTTATTTCGAAAAGGTTCCAATAACTGCTCAAAAGCTTGTATTTAGAGATAGTTATTTTTTAGAAAATCAGGTTACTCACATAATTAATGCATTATCTGGTATGACCCAGTTACAAGAGTTAGAAATTATAGATAGCACATTACAAGGTACTGGGCAGTTCTATACTAGTCCGCGCATTTTAAGTAATGTACATATAATAACAATTAGGAATTTAAAAATAGATTTATTTTATTTATTTTCAGATCTTTCAAGCATGTTGTATCTTGTAGAGAATATTACCAGACTGACCATTGAAAATACAAAAGTTTTTCTTGTGCCTTGCGAACTTGCAAAAGAATTCAGTTCAGTACAGTATCTTGATATCAATACAAATTTGCTTCAGGATTCGTTTTTTGAGCATTCATTCTGTCCAGGCAGTTGGCCTAAACTGCAGACTCTCAATGTTAGTCAAAATTCTTTGACATATCTTGATCGGATGGCTCGAAGTGTGGCTCATTTAGTCGATCTTACTAATCTAGATGTAAGTCAGAATAATTTAGAACAAATGCCAGAGTCGTGTCATTGGCCAAAAAGCTTGAAATATTTAAACATTTCTGGCTGTAAAGTAGAGAAACTTACAGGTTGCATCCCTGACTTTTTAGAAATTCTGGATGCAAGCAACAATTTCCTCCATGATTTTAAGGTGAGCTTGCCTCATCTTCAGGAACTTTATCTTACAAATAATAGGTTCAAAGCTCTACCAGATGCTGCCTTCATCCGTCATGTAAGGTTTGTGACTATTAGAGAAAACAGTGTGTTTGTGTTCTCTGAGCAGGAACTGCAAGAGTTTGTAGAACTGAAGTTGCTGGATGCCCGTAATAACAGTTTTCAATGCACGTGTGGTTTTGTTTCCTTTGTACAGTCTTATCCAAGAATATATAATATCTGCGTTGGTTGGCCTGAAAATTACATCTGTGATTCTCCAGATTATGTAAAAGGGGATCAGATCGGAGTTGCCCAGCTGCAACTGACTGACTGTCACTTTAGTTCTTTTGTGTCCATCCTTTGTATTCTGATAATCCTGATCATCTTGGTGTCAGCATTTCTTTGCTACAAGTTTCATGTCATTTGGTATATACGCATGACTTTGGCTTGGCTCAAAGCAAAACGCAAGCCTCAAAGGACCCATAACCAGGCAGTCTGCTACGATGCGTTCGTTTCCTACAGTGAACAAGACTCGGAATGGGTGGAAAATATTATGGTGCAGACGTTGGAGCAATCAAACCCTCCATTTAAACTGTGTCTTCATAAAAGAGATTTTATGCCTGGCAAATGGATTGTAGACAATATTATTGACTCCATTGAGAAGAGCTCTAAAACCCTGTTCGTGCTTTCGGAGAATTTTGTACGGAGTGAGTGGTGCAAGTATGAATTGGATTTTTCTCACTTCCGTTTTTTTGATGAGAATAATGACACGGCCATTTTGATCCTCCTGGAATCTATTCCAATTAAAACCATCCCAGAAAGGTTTTGCAAACTCAGAAAATTAATGAATACCAAAACTTATCTTGAATGGCCAAGTGATAAAGATCAAGAAGAGTTATTTTGGTTTAATTTGAAAACGGCAATAAAGGCCTAGGTGAGAAGTTGGTATAATAGACCATTTCCATTAGTTTTAGCAGCAATTTTGGTGTGAGGAATTTTTTATGGTTCAGAATATACAGTCCAGTCCAGTCCAGTAGCAGGAGGCAAATGGGCTTCCAGAAGTGTGATTCCTTGAACCCGAGGCTTTTTCTTCATCGTGTACTTTGACTGGTTTTCACTCAGCAGAAATATCAGGAACACGCAACACTGCCTTTGTCCAAGTTTTGCACATAAATCTCAACTCTTCAGATATTTATGAGAAAGAAGAATTTAGCAGGGGAGGATATAGCAGCTAAGGTACAGTTCTAGCAGAGTCTTAAAAAGTAAAGGTAAAGGTTCCCCTTGCACATACGTGCTAGTTGTTTCCAGCTCTAGGGATGGTACTCATCTCTGTTACAAAGCCGAAGAGCCAGCGCTGTCCAAAGACATTTCCGTGGTCATGTGGCTGGCATGACTAAATGCCGAAGGCGCACAGAACGCTGTTACCTTCCCACCAAAGTGGTCCCTATTTTTCTACTTGCATTTTTACATGCTCTCGAACTGCTAGGTTGGCAGAAGCTGGGTCAAGTCATGGGAGCTCACTCCGTTATGTGGCACTAGGGATTCGAACTGTCAGCCTTTCCGATCAACAAGCTCAACGTCTTAGCCACTGAGCCACCGCGTCCCTCGTTCTATTAATTAATCCTAATAATATTGTAAGCAGAATCTTAGAACCAATTAATTGAAAGAGATTGAGAGAATTGATAGATAAAATTTATGGATTGCATTAAGCCACGTTTTGCTTAATTGTGATATATTCAACAAGATCATCCTAAGCTGTAAATCTTGATTTACAAATCACAGGGGCTCCATAGCACAGAGAAGCCACACTGTGTTTAGTGTGATGTGTCCACTGAGTTAACTTAGGTGTGCCAAGCAAATGAAGCCAGCAAAGGGAACCAACACAGATAGTTTTTCTGTCATGATTAATTATAAAAAGTAGCATTTATTACATAACATAACAAGAGCATATATTGTATGATTGTTTATTGTTTAAATATTAAACAAGTATAAATATGCTGTAATTTAAGTTATTTTCTATTGTTGTTTTTTTAGAATTTAGTGGTTGCTAAGAGCAAACAACCTCTTGATGGCACATAATCACTCAATTGCTAGATGGCATTTTATTGCTTTTTATTATCTTTTGAAAGTTGGAGTCATTAAGAAATAGGCAGCCAATAAATCAGTTAAATGCATGAAATGAATAAGTTGTTTAGTTGAATACATCCTAAGATGAACCATATGCTGGAACTTCCTGTTATTTTCAGTATTTGAGAAAGTGGCCAGCATATTTGCATTATGCTTCCTTGATTTTTTTGAAGGGCAAAAGCCACTTCCTGTAGCTATTTTAATTTATTGATTGTAACATATGAAAAATGTATTTTCTGGTAAGATTTTACACTTATTGATTTAAAATAAAGTACTTAACTATTTAGTACTTCTATATTCTAGTTATTTATTTGGATCATCAAGAGATATGTATCCATAATACTGTTAAGCTAAAACAATATCTAGTTTCCATTGGAGCCAGCCATTCAGTGCCTTCTATGGCCAACTTCTGCAGGAATAAACATGCTTAAAAATGATTTGTATGGGAGTTAATTAAACTAAAGTTAAATATGCCTTCTAGTGTTGTCCGTTTATGGCAATTGTGTCTTCAAAGTATGCAAACTCTAGTGATTTCAATAGGACTTGAATGCATTTAATTCCATGGACTTGTGGCCATAAGTTATTCTGATTTGGGCAAAACATTTTGGTAATGCTAAAAATACAGAAAAGCTGACAAGATATTTATTTCGATGCTGGATATTTTCAACATCAACCTTTATTGTCAGTGCACAACATATATACAATGAGAATGGCTCATTCGGCCTCTCTTAGTGCAGCTATTCCAACACAAATACATCTCAATAACTCACAGTGAAAGAAAGAAAGAAAATCCCTAGCTCAGTAATCATACTAACAAACTCAATCCTCTATATATTTATCTGTTTAAGTATCGAACTTTGGCATATTACACGTGATTGTCAAAGTTTCTATCATTTGGTGGCCCGACCATCACTACCCAAACCTTTGCAGAGAAAGGGGGGGGGGAATAAAACTTTTGGCTTACCTGCATACAGATTTTAAAAGAAAAAAACTATAAAGGAATCCACAGAAAGGGGGAGGGTTTGTTCTAGATTTGGCAGGAGGTTGTGCTATAGTGAGTGGTGACTGGGTGAGGCTGAGGCTAGGGAAGGTACAACTGGGAGACAGACAGCAAATCGTCCATGGCCAGGGAGAAGAACGTGGAAAGGGCCTTAAGCAGCGGAGGTGAAAGAAGAATCTGTAGAAAAGAATAGCACGCACACACGCTCCCTCCCTCCAAAACTCAACAGTGCAACTCGACTCTATACCAGAGGTGGTATTCAGCAGGTTCTGACCAGTTCTGGAGAATCGGTAGCGGAAATTTTGAGTACCAGCAAATCCTACCTCTGACTGGAGATTTTACAGTATCCTTCCCAGGGGTGGGATTCTACCAGTTCACACCTATTCGCTAGAACCAGCTGTTAACATTCTAAGCAGTTCGGAGAACCAGTTGTTAGAAGAAATTACTGGCCTAATCCTGTAAGGAAGGCAGGAAGGAAACATTCTGGTGTTGCTTACAGAAACTGCCTCTCCGTTAACCCTTATGACATTCTTGGCAGGACTAAACTTCCTGTCTCTGGAACTTCTCTGGAGTTTTTTCCCCCTCCTTGCTGGTACTTTGCTTGTGTGGAGTGACCATTCAAAGTTACAATGGCACTGAAAAAAGTGACTTAGGACCGTTTTTCACACTTACGACTGTTGCAGCATCCCCACAGTCACGAGAGGCCAGGCGAGGAGATGCGTGCCTCGATGTGGGTAATGTTGAGTTGGCCACACCCAGCCAATAACATGTCCACCAAACCACGCCCACCACCTAAGCCATGCCCACAGAACCAGTTGTTAAAAAGTTTGAATCCCACCCCTGATCCTTCCCCTGCCACACCCACCAAGCCACACCCACAGAACTGGTAGTAAAAAAATTTGAATCCTACCACTGCTCTAGACAGGTAGTGGGGAAAACTCCATGTCATCTGGGCAAGAGTATTAAAGAGGAGAGGCTATTAACCTACCTAAGCGTGCAGATAAGGAAGTAGAGGAGAAGAAATTTTTTTTTTAACAGAAATGCATTTTTAGACTGTTGGCTGGGAATTCTGGATATTAAAAACTGCACATCTTAAATGCTGACCAGTTGAGAAACACTGCTATAGGCAAAGTGATAGACATGTAAGTCCTTTAAATTCAGTTCCACATATTAAGTTATGTTTATGCTTGATGACTATACATGTACATTACACACATATCATAAAGTCTTGTAAATATACTGTGTAATTCTTGCCTGTAGTGGGGTGTGTCTGGCTTCCCATACATGTATTCCCATACATTTCCTCCATCTTGACAGTACTTAAGGGGTCCAAGGATTTTAGGTTTTAATAAGCTCTATAGCAACAGTTTAATAACTTCTGTGTGGCATGTAAAATAGACAGAAAGCTTAAAGTTTGAGTCCTAATTGGGCCTACTTTAAATAGCAGAAAAAATTGGACAAGTTCTTTGTTTATATTTAAAGGTCATTTGTTCAAAACAAAAGTATTAGCTTGAATTAGTATTATAACCTATTAAAGCCACCTGCAATTTTTATTGAAAGCCTAATATATAGATTATTGCTTATAGTCCACTTTTATTCATTCATTGCTTTTAACCTGCCTGAAAGAAAATAGCAGGGTGATGATACACATTTATATAACTAATGCCAATCAGTCCAGATTTATGTGAAGACACAAAGTATAAAATTTACATCTGCTAAAACAAGTTGCCTCTTGAAAAAGCTCCTTTGGGACAAGCAAGCTCAGAGAGGACCAAGGATCCCTCATCGACACAGCTGTGGAAGTAAATCCCTTACTCAGTAACTTTAAAAGGAAGATAAGGTTTTCTGGATTCCAGTTCTGATGGTTTAGAAGTATATACTCGGTATATCAAAGCAAAATACCACTCACGCATCAACACAAAATCTCCAGAACGGTAAAGCCTACAAACTTGAAATTTGGCACCTATGTTCCTCTTGGCTTCTAGGGGCTCACTAAGAAAGGATTTTTCCAAATGACCATCAGAGCATTAGTATTTCCTATGTTATTATTAACATGCTCTGATGCTAAGGAGTTCTACTCCCCGTCCTCACCTGAAAAGAAATCTGTTCCAGATGCAAAACGCAGAGGAGTTTCAGTTTTACTTTCACAGCAGCTTTAGCACAGAACAGTTGAGCTAAGCCATGCCCAAGCTCCTTGCTCACACAGCAAATACTGGTTCACTTTCCAAACAGCCCTCAACTCTCTCACACCCTGACAGGACGCTAGCCAAATGAATACCGATGGATACTGTTAGGCAGAGGCAGAATTTTTTCCCCCTTATTTTCCTCCCGAAAAACTAAGCCCAACCACATAGTTTCGTAGTGAAGCACGGGTATCCAGTTAGTTTGTAATAAGGTAACAATTTACCCCAGAATTTGAAACAATAATAGTTTTTAATTCTATTGTAGTGAAATTGGCTGAGCAACTTCAGTACAATAGCCAAAAGCAGAACATTAGCACTTTGACTACCCTCTTCTGGATAATTTGTGAAATACAAATGGCATTAAAAATGAATTCAATTAATTAATCAATGAATTAATTTAATGTATATTGCCGCCTATTCGCCCATGGCGACTCGAGGTGGCTTACACAGTGTTTTAAAACCATATTTAAAACAAAAAAATAAAATTAAAAACAATGAAAACTAACAAAAAGAATCAAATAAATTAGTAAAGTACAATAGAATAAAATTTGGGAAAACAAAAAAAATCAAAAAATCAAAAACCAACTGCCCCCCACCCCCACCCCGACGACAGCAGATCACACTAGCCACCTGATGGGCTATAACTATTATAGGATACAATTTCATCAGCCTCCAGACCTTTGAAAATCAACACATTTGTTAGTCTCTAAAATAGTATTTCTTAACCTTAGAAACGAAGACGTGTGCTGTTAACTCCCAGTTTCTCCGAGTCAGCAGCCTCTTCCAGATGTTAGGATTGAAAAACACTGTTCTAAATACAGATAGTCCTTGACTTACAACAGTTCATTTAGTGACCGTTTAAAGTTACAACGGCATTGAAAAAAAAGTGACCGTTTTTCACAGTTACGACCTTTGGAGCTTCCCCATGATCATGTGATCAAAATCCAGATGCTTGGCAACTGATTCACCTTTATGACGGTTGCAGGGTCCTGGGGTCAAGTGATCCCCTTTTGTGACCTTCTGACAATGGGGGAGCCCGATTCACTTAACAACCGTGTTACTAAATTAACGGCTGCAGTGATTCTCTTAACAAATGTGGCAAGGAAGGTCATAAAATGGGGCAAAACTCACTCAACAAACGTCTCGCTTAACAATATACATTTTGGGCTCAATTGTGATCGTACAATTGAGGACTACCTGTACAGGCTGGTGGGGCAATTCTGGGAGTCGAAATCCACCTATCTTCACGTTAAGGTCAAGAAACACCTTTGCCTGCTACAATAAAGAGGAGTGTTCAGCCCTTTTAATGTCTAAGACAGGGGTCTTCAGCTTGAAGACTTGAGGACTTCAACTCCCAGAATTCCTCTTCCAGTCATGTTAGCTCAGGAATTCTAGGAGTTGAAGTCCACGAGTCTTAAAACGTGCCAAGTTTGAAGACCCTTTGTTCCGACCCAACCCTGTTACCAGCAAGAAAATCTCAAACAAGCACAGCAACTCAAACCTTCACATCTTTAATCTACACATAACTTCTTGGTAGATAAAAGATGGCTTGCAGCCAATTAGCACAACCAGAAAAGCCTTGACAGAGTTCTTCAGATAAGCCGGAGTCTCTACACACAAATGCTGGGTTCTTAGAGCGTTTTTGCCTTCTGCAAAGGCACAAAACCTTTTGAAACCAGGCTTATAGGGGCCATTAAGTTGCATCCTTACTCCCGAGTCGCTTGTGCTGCTCCTGCTGTTCTCTTCTATGACTCATCCTACGCTCAGGCGCACTTGGCACAGGCTCCTCGGGAACCTCCTCATCGCTGCTGCCAGCTCCCACAATCCCTGAAGGCAGCAGTCCACTCCCTGATGGTCCTGGCCCCTCATCCAAATCCTCGCTCTCCTCCATCAGCGCCTGCTGCCGGCTAACCACAATACCCTTGGTCTAAGACCTGAGTGTCAAACTCAGTGCGTCACGTGACGTTTCAGTGTTTTTCCCCATTCGCGGAGATGGGGCGGGCGTGGCCTGCATTTGACGCATCCGGCTCGTGGGCCTCCAGTTTGACACCCCTGGTCTAAGAGATGCTACACTCATAAGCAGCATAGCTGCTCTACAGGTAGAAGATATTTCTGGATTCGTTGCATTTGTACTCTTTGACTTAAAAAATAATGATGTTAAAAAAAGGTATCCCTGTGGCTTGCAATGTGACCAGAAACTGAAACACAACAATCCAGGAATAGGTTTTTTTTTTTACTTCAGTTGTTCTTCCATCAATTGCTTTCATGGCCCTGGAGATGTACCAGAGAGGGTTAAATGTTTAAATATTTGTATTGGGACCATTTTCAAGGGATATTTCATGCCAATGTTCTTATAGAGAGCAGTGATTTCCTGCACTCCAGCCCTGAAATCCATCAAGGAATGTGATTTGAGCATCGATCTTTCACTGCTTGTAGAAAGGAGCAGGGTTGGCTTTGCTTCCAGCATTGGCATCTCTTTTATTCATGCACCTGCATATAGACATTTGAGCCAAGGAATTTTGTGTGTTTGTCTGTGTTTTTGTGTGTGTATGTGTATATATATATTATATATATATTTACACCTCTGTGCAAAAAAGTCTTTCTAAGTTGTTGGCATCCTAAATAAAAATCTTTGTGGATTGTACTCTTTGGGTGAAAGGGTCACCATGCCTAATGTGTGCACTTTGAGATCAGGAACAAGGAAAGTCATGGATTTGGGGTTCCATGGAGTGCTAAACCTTTCTCTACTCAGGAACATTCTTAAATGATTAACAGATCACTGGTCTCTGACCCTGTGTGAAAGATAATTGATTCTTTCTTCCTAGAATAAAATGGGGGAAAAAATCCTCTGCAAAGTAGCTGAAGTACTACCATTACAAAGAAAAATATGCAGTTGTTCATCACAGGAAAGAAGCTGAAAGGAAAATAATGCGCAAAATGTACAAAAAAAAAAATCTGCCCAAAGCATTTTAAACTAAGTTTTCCCCATCGGTGCTCTTTGAAGTCTAAATGTTATGTTTTCTCCTTCAAACTGTTGGACAACCAGAATACTGATTCTCTGGCACATGACATGGTCTCAATAAACAGTTACTAAGAAAGTGTGTATGAAAAATCTGCCCTTAAATGGCTGCCATTTTTCCATGCCAGCATATAAAACCTGGCAAATTAAAAGGAAAAAATCATGGAAGGAAGCAGCAGTAAACTGCTTCCGTATTGCTTACAAGACAATTTCATGGACCAGCCACCAAAAATGTATTCCAAAATCATAAACATATTTTAAAAATAAAAAGGACACTTTGCACCTAACTTTGAAAAAACTGGAGCACAAAGTTTACTTCTGTATGCCAGACTAACCAAAGAATAGATGTGGAAAACCGCATAGTCAGAATTGTCTTTCCAAGTTTGACAGGCCAATAATCCATTATCCAGCATTCTGGACTTCCTCACTCAGAAAACCTTACTTTCTTTAATAATCGTATGCCAAAGTAATTTTATTCTTTTATGCGGGATCCAGTATTACAGGAACTAACATTCATATTTGGGTGAAATATGCTATTACAGAATACAGAATAATAGAATTGGAAGGGATCTTGTACCATTTTTCACAAGTGGATCTCCAGTCTCTTCATGATTATTAGATGATGCAGTATTTTATTGAAGCACATTAATCATCAATCATTGTTTAAATTATAGCATAATAGTTTAATATACATCAAAAATTCATTGGTGCCTAACTAGCAATAAACTATATATTATGTGAATGACTGTTAAAAAGGCCTGGTTAAGTTCAACTTTGGAGTTGCACTAAAAATAATTAACTAATTAACCCAAGAGGAAGTGAATTTCTCCTATGTCTTTCATTACAAAGACTTAAAAAAAGATACAATAAAAATGGATCTTATGGATTTCAGAGATGCTTTCACAAAACCTAAGACAAAAACACAACAAAGTGTAAACTATGATGTAAAGTTTATATACAAGAATATAAGGTTTATCTGGATTATTTACAAGGGTTGTTAAAGTAATATTTTACAACTTTTTTTTCCAAATAACCACTACTTACTTTACAGTTAGGCTACAGAAACCTTTAATTTGTGAAACATCAAAGTACTTCAATTTAAAATAGTATTAAGCTTTGTATAAAATACTGTGCGTAAATGATTAATACACACTTATTGAAGTTGTTCTTGCTGAAGTAGCACATGTGCATGGATAATTTCTCTGTAATGAATAAAGCTAGATGACACATTCCTGATAAGATAAAATTAGGCCCAATATTCAAAGGTAAATAGAGATATTGTAATGGCTATAATCTATAGCAAGCTTCCAATGCAATGTATGTTGACAGATGCCAATCCCATAAAGTGCAGTGCACTTTCCCACAGAAGCATGCATGACATTGCAGCTTAATGCACATCCACTCATAGACATTAGAGGCCTTAAGCATGCATAATTCTGCAGAGGAGTTGGGGAAAGAAACTCTCAAGACATTCTTTGGTTTTATTTGGCCCGTCTTTGAGTCATAATTTCTGTAAGAGCAAAGCCTTTAAAATAAAGTTTGTCTTTTCAATGCCAAGTTGCAAAACAACTCCCGCTTCCATAAAAATTGAGATACTGTTATCTCCTGCACTGTGGGGCTCCCACATTTGTTTTTACTTGGAACGAAACCAAACCGAAAAAGTCGACTGCAAAGCTCAAATGGACGCATAACCTACACAGAAAGGTTAGCCAGACAGAATGTCGTATGAATATGATTAAAATTAAAATTAAAAGAATTACATTTTGCGCAACTCTAAACAATACATTTTGGAAACAATTTTACAGAAGAAAAATCGTGATTTGGGTAATTATAGTTTATTATATGTACACAATTAGAAGGGGGGGAATCTCTTTTCTTCTTAAAAGAAGTGGCTCTTCCATGCTACCGGGCCATTTATGGCTGCGGTAGGAAGATGCGAAAGAACTTAAGGTGTGGCAACTAAACATGAACAGAAACTCCAAGCAATTAGCACTGCAGCTTGCGTATGCTGCGAGAAAACCTCTTGAAGGCTCGCTGGCCTTTTTGCCATCGTTTGACAGAGGTGATCACCAACTCTCCAGCCAACCTCTGTCCCATGACCAAATACGGTGCGTTGATATCGTTCATCTCGTCGCAGGTACACTGAAGGCCACCTCTGAGCCAAAGCACGGTCTTCTTCAGGTCCCTTTCCGTCACCCCGTTCAGCTTGTAGATGGTTTTGCTCTTTGTTTCTGGCGTGATCTTGGTGTCTCCATTGATGTAGGCGATCTCCTTCACTTTTATCTTCAGAGCTAAGAGGGATAATGGGGAACAGAGCAGGGGTGGGGGAGTGGGGTAAAAGAAAGGGAGAGAGAAGGGGGAGAGAGAAAAGATTTTTCTCTCATTCTGGCACATAAAAGAGAATCGAGGAAGGGAGGTCTTCTGTTGCTAATTAAACTGTCAGGTTCTGACAGAATGGGCAGCAGGTGGCTCCATTTCTAAAGCCATCAAAAGTAATTTCAGTCCGAATCAATCTTTGGGTGTATTTCTTTCACTTTCAAAGGGGGAAAAAAATCTTTGCTAAATGACCCTCTTCCTCTAGATTTTTTTTGTTGCTTGCAAATACCAAAGATCTCGTGCTTTTCTACGTTAAAGCTTTTGTGCCTTCTTACAAAGCTGAAAGGAGAGAATGGGAAATAGCCACCTTTTCACAGAAAAAGCGAACCCCATTTCTCTTGAAAATAAGTCTGGCTTAATTTATGAAACCCTTTGGTTAATCAGTATATTTTATCTGTTGCATTTGAAAAGATGAACAAAATCATTGGGTTTTACAGCCGCATTTAGATTTGGTGCGATAACTGTAAAACCAAATATCTGCTTGTGGATATATCAGATGAAAACTTAATGCTAGTTAACTTGACTTAAACTCACTCTCTATGCTATTCTTTAATAATAAGGCCATTAATATGTATAAATTTGTGATCAAACTGTAATAAAATAACTTCTGCAGTTAGAATATGATAAAATTACAACATGTATTTATAATTTATGCAAGTTATACCTGTTTTATTCAGAAGGTAATTCCAACTACTGTGACCCAGAAATGATACATACATACATTATTTGTCTTACCTCTGTAAAGTTATTCTCTGCTTTCTTCACAGCCAATACTCCTGGCATGTCAGAATTTCTCAAGAGACAGATTAATCTTTTTTTAAGAAAAGATGCCATTTCTCTACCAATATGGAATGTGAAAGCTTTGCCAAAGCTGTTGAGGATTTGTTGGGCATTAAAGTAGCAATGTTGTAGATTTAAAATGTTATACCAATTTAAATTCTGAAGTGAAGCCTATCAAAGTATTTCTCAGCTTTGCTCCCATATCTTTGTGGTTGTCTTGCGCGCTGGAAAATTCAGGAGCAATTTTCTATTTTACTCTTCCCAGGAAGCCATCCCTCACTGCATTAAGAAATGGGGACTGGACAGGTTAAAACTTGTTTTCAAATTCATAGCAGGACCATAAACCAAGGCCTCCCTGCTTAATCCCCTTCCTCTGCAGGTGGGAAGAAGGGAAACAGAATGAAACCAAGGCTTCCAACATTACTGTGCCACTGGGCTCCATTTCACATCAGCAAAGAATCAGAAAATTCAAGGATGTCACATTCAAATTATTTATATTTCTGTAACTCTGAAATACTTGACATGGCAGTTTCAGAGGGTAATAAAAAAGATATATATGTCTGTATACAACTAGCTAATTCCTGGATTCTATTACTCCCTCAGGCGACCAAATGTGAAAAACAGTTGGTTTTCATAGACAGAGGTACTGGAATTAGAATCACTGGTAAAACTATTGAGAACTAAACCAGGTTCTGTTGTCAGCTATGGGACAAGGTACAACCAATGAAGGAGAACAAAAATAAAAGTCCCCCCCATTCAAGCATTGTTAGAACAATTTGGACCTCCCGCTAAGAAAGTTTTAGAATCCTATTTCTTTCTACATAGAAAGGAGGTGAGGCCACAGTGGACAACGTTGTATAGAAAAAAGAACAACCTTAGAAAGATGAGAGCACACAACATGTTCATTACAAAGAGCAGTTCTAAACAACCTCCTACCTAGTCTGATAGACTAAACAGAAACCTAATCATAATCCTATGATTATGTGAATTAGGATCCACTGTTGAAATAAAAGCTTGAATGCATTTGCAATTTAAAACTGACCCACGTCTGCATTTCTTACCACACTGATTATTATTACAACCAGAGACCAAAATCCTTAGTTTTCAATCAGAGTATCTCCCTCATACTTACCAAAGTCATTTTTGCAAAGATTTTCTACGATTTCATTGTCATCTTCATTCTTGGTTTTGCAGGCATCACAAACTTTTGGCACTGTGAGAAATAAGTTTTACAAAAGAACCTTTAGAGGACTTTCAAATGAAAGAAGTAGCCATTTGGGAAGAAAGGATACACTTTTAATATGAAGTTATGGCAGGCTTTCTTATTCTTGACTCTATATCATGACAGCCTGAAGGGCTGATTCTAGAGCATTTGGAGCCTGACATAACTAATCAATCCCACTGGCCATTTAAAAACAACTGAAGAAAAAATAGCCATGCTAAATACTGTAGATATCATAACAAGTTCAATGAGAACTCCATTATTAAAAAAAAAACCATGGGAGAATGTCATCTTCCCCATCCCCAAGTTAATTAAAGCCACATTTTCTAACACTAAGCTGACACTAGTAGATGAAAGCTCTTACTTTGAAAAATGAGAAATCAGTAATATGAATGTATTGCTTCTGTTATCAGTATTTTATCGGGTTTGGCATTTCCTGTTACCTTCTATTCAAACTATACCTGCAGCAAATTTAATTGGCCAGTTGACATGGGAATGACTTACTGAACCGATTGATGTTATCATTTTCCTAGGAAAAACAGTTACAGGAGAACAGTTCAACAATTACAATATCCAATAAGCTCAAATGGTTAAAAGTGCAAGCAGTATTCCAAGTCATAATGCAACTTTTGAAGTAGAAATTCAAAAGGGAATTCTACCTGTTCACTTGGACTTAATCCCAGGTCTGTGTTGTTTAAAGCTATCATCCCATATAGTACATATTTAGTTTAAATAAACTCTTAGGATCCTAATCCTGTCCTACCCTAAACTTGTTCTTAAAAATGTTTATTCTGGATCGCACAGTTTAACCTGCCCCTAAATTCATAAGGTCTACAAGTTGTAGTCCTAGGGGATCACTTTGAATAACTTTCCATAAGAAAAATTTGGGGATAGGGCTATTTTAAACACCAATATCTAAAACATGAAGTCTTAAGGAATCCAGCTTAGCTTTGTTTTGTATAAAGAGACTGCACTGAACTTTCCAAATCTAGCAAAGCAAAATCTAAAATGGATTGGTTTCTGTCATTAAAAGAGTGCTTTGCCAATCATGTTTTGGTCCTGTGGTACTTTTTTTGCTGTGTGAATATTTAAGATGCAGTGTTCCACAGTTCTTAGAAAGGAATTTACATGATATGTTATAAAGTTTATGTCTCACAAATTTATATCTGTAATTAAAAACAAAAAAACGGTGATATGTAGAAAGTTTATCCTTTTAAAAGACATTACAAACAACTATTCTCAGCAAACTTATTCCTCCTGCACATTCCACTGAGATGCTTGAGGTGGCAGCCTAAGACCGCAAACCCTATTCATGTACTGGAAGGATATCAGTGAATGATTTCTGCCCAAGTCAATGCACCCCAAATAATCACCTCAAAATATGCCCCCAAATCACCGTTTACTTCCAAAGCCACTTAATGTACAGGATTTAATTAAACATGAAAAAAAAAACCAATTGCAGAGGAATCCATCCTGTACATTCATTCTACTCTGGTGCTCTGAAGATTTGTTAAAGTAGAGTCTAAAAATGTAATCTGCACCTCTATAACTGTCTGGTTTGGTTCTGCAACCCAACAGGACAGACACAGACTTCAGAGGGTAATTAGGACTGCAGAAAAAACTATTGCTACCAACCTTCCTTCCATTGAGGACCTGTGTACCGCACGAGTAAAAAAGAGGGCTGTGAAAATATTTATAGACCCCTCACGTCCCAGACATAAACTGTTTCAACTCCTACCCTCAAAACGACGCTATAGAGCACTGCACACCAGAACAACTAGACACAAGGGCAGTTTTTTCCTGAAAGCCATCACTCTGCTAAACAAATAATTCCCTCAACACTGTTCAACTATTCACAAAGTATACACTACTATTACTTTTAATCTTCTCATTGCTCCTTATCACCCATCCCCTCCCACTTGTGATTGTAGAACTGTAACTTTGTTGCTTGTATCCTTACGATCTATATTGACTGTTTCCTAGTATGATTTGATTGCTTATGGTACACTATGACTGTCATCAAGTGTGGTACCTGATGATTCTTGACTCTTGACAAATGTATCTTTTCTTTTATGTACACTGAGAGTATTTGCACCAAGACAAATTCTTTGTGTGTCCAATCACACTTGGCCAATACAAAATTCTGTTCTGTTCTGTTCTATTCTATTCTATTCTATTCTATTCTATTCTATTCTATTCTATTCTATTCTGTTCTGTTCTGTTCTGTTCTGTTCTGTTCTGTTCTGTTCTGTTCTGTTCTGTTCTGTTCTGTTCTGTTCTGTTCTGTTCTATTCTACTCTACTCTACTCTACTCTACTCTACTCTACTCTACCCTACCCTACTCTGTAAATCTTTGTCTTCCTGCTCCGATTTCCTTCCAAAACAGGGGTCTCCAACCTTGGCAACTTTTAAGATTTGTGGACTTCAACTCCCAAAATTCCTTAAGTCAACTCTGGGAGTTAAAAAAAACCCACAAGTCTTAAAAGGTGCCAAGGTTGGAGACCCCTGTTCCAAAAGACTCTGGCCCGACGGCCCCCATTGCTCAACCTGCGCGGGATCGCCCAGTCCAAAGCGCCCTCAGCGGCCTTTACCTTCCCTGGGAGTGGGGGGGACGTGGTCGCTGCTGGCCAGGGGGATGCACAGGTCGTTGTCCTGGGGGAAGCGGCTGCAGTCCAGCATGTCCGGCCAAGGGAAGCCGAAGGCGGACATCACCGGGGCGCAGCTGTTCTTCACCTGCTCGCAGAGCGAGTGGCAGGGCTCGATGGTCTCGTCCAGGTCGGCGAGGCAGACGGGCGCGAAGAGGGAGCAGAGGAACTTGCGCGTGTCCGGGTGGCAGCGCTTCTGCACCAGCGGGATCCAGGCGCCCGCCTGGTCCAGCACCTCCTGCAGGGTCTCGTGGCCCAGCAGGTTGGGCAGCCTCATGTCCGGGTACTCGATGCCCCGGCACAGCAAGAGGGAGGCCGGGATGGGCTTGCAGTTGGAGCGCTTGTAGGAGAAGTCGGGCTCGCCGAAGAGGAAGAGACCGCCGACCAGGCCGAGGCAAGCCGCGGAGACGACGAGCAGCAGCCGCGGCAGAAGCTGCTGAGGGCGCATCTTTGCCGAGGGGTCGCGGAGAGGGGGGAAAGGGCTTCTGACCACTCCCGACCACCACCTCTGGGAAAGCCAGGAGCCGTCAAGGCGGAGGAGGGAGCGGCGCGAGCTTCAGCCTCCTCCCGCCGGCCACGCGCGGCTCTTTTCCCCTCCGAAGCGCTGCCGCTCCTTCGCGCGCACCGACGGGAGAGACGCTGTCCGACGCTCTCGACGTCTCCCCGGCTCCAGCGGGCATTTCTTATGCAAATGGAGGAAAGTGGGTGGGGGGGGCGTTGCGAGGGGGGGAGGGCGAAGAGGCGGAGCCATTGGGCCAAATAGCCGGCCTGGATTGGCCGCGGCTTTCCCTGAGGGAAAGGCTTGGCTTGGCTTTTTTTTTTTTTTTGGGGGGCGAGGGGGGGGGAGAAACGGGGAGCGCCCCCGCCCGGAGAGACCCCCTCCACACACGCGCTTCCC